AAATTTATATATTTGATAGTTTTAATTTAGTTTAGAGGATGGGACAGCTACGATGAACCAATATAGGCCCCTTGTTGTCTCTAAACATTGTTATGTTATATTAAGTCAGAAATACTTAGCAGAAACTGGTTAAAACACTGAAGTATAGAGAGATCTACATTAGTGCTAAAAACGTTATTGCAAATATCATGAAAAAAGGTTTAAGTTAATTGTCTACTTTTTACAATACATATTACTGCCACAAATTTCATTGCTGTCACATGGTCATACTTCTTGTAAATTTGAAAAATTATTTCAATTTAATGAAAAAAGTTCATATGTTATTTTCTTTCTTTTAATTGACATTTAGTTCTGGTGTAAAAATAAAATAAAATTTCAACAGTACACTCAATCATCTGTAGTAGTTACCTAATTCCCAAAAATTAGTTGTAAACGTAAATAACCATCTATTCATGATACACATGTGAAAAAGAAATAATTCTGATTATGTACAATATGATTTTTAATATATAGATATATATTTATAACCATGACTTTTTTTTTATTTTACAGTGACTACAGTTATTAATGCAATGCAGTATGTTTTGCTTGGCAGCCTGTCATTCAGTAGAAAATCTTTCATGAAAACACGCTTTAATAAGTACTTCTGGGTGTTTACAATAATCCAAGATAACATGAAAATTTCATCTACTGCATGTTATAAAATTTAAAACTTTTAAAAATTCAATTTGTAATTTTGTGTAAAAGTAGATAATGTAGGTCATTGTAAGGGATGGCATACATGTAACATTACTTTTAAGTTTTTATATGTAAATAAATAAGTTTAATATTTCATATATTTAGTACTTTGTTAATCACTTTTAAATGTGTAATTTTACCTCTCCTTGAACTTTTCCTTCAATTAAAACATCCTTAATGTGTCTTCATGAAACGTCATTTTCAAAAGTATTGTTGCGTCATCGAGATCACGTGACTATTCTCATGCCCTATACTTTCTAGAACTATCCTGTACTTTGGTGAATGCTCTAGCATTTACTAGATATAGGGTAGCCTGGTATATAAAAGAGGGTGACAACGTGATGGTAATGTAATGTGTGTGTAGATAGTGAGTAATTGAACTACAGTCAGAAGTATTGTTGACGTTCGTTGATATAGCGTTTGTTATAGAGCGATTGTTGAAAATAAGTGTATCGTAAAGTTATATTCTGAAAGAATAAACCAGTTTTATTAAGTAAGGACTTGTGTCGCTAAAGTTTCGTCGGAACGTAGTTACGGAAAATTAATTAACAAACGGAGACATAACAAATTGGTGTCAGAGAGCGGGATAGAAAAAAAAAAAAAGAAAAATGGAAACGAGAGGCGGAAAATCAAACTACAGCTAAGCAGACTTGATGGCAGCAATACAAGAACAAGAAAAGACACAAGAAG